TTCCATATCTACTAGGTGCTCTCACAACTAACTTGGCTTACCTTTCCCTTCGAGATCTCAGTGCTGATGATGTCCTAGGGTATTGCATGGCAGTGTAAGGGACAGCTTTGTGAAGGCTGCTGTCCCAGAACAGTCGGGTGGCAATAGGTTTAATTGAAAAAATATTTGTCGCAGAGATGTACTATGACACATTACTGAGTCACATGCAAATACCACATGGTTACACAGGCAGTTCTGGCAGTGGCAGGGGATTTTGAAGGTAGATAGGAGGGATGGTATGCCAAGCACGGGGGAAACAAGGTGCTTGCTGAAGAAACTGAAAACCAAATATACAGCAGTAATGTGACTAGCAAACATGGGAGCACAGTGTTCTCGAATCGCTACCTTTGCAATGGAACAAGGCATACTTTAATAAGTTCTTGGTGTCAAATTCTGGAAAAATTGATGATGCTTTTCCAAGAAGGAGAAGTTTCCACTTGAGTAGCTGTGGATAGTCCACACTGGTGTACACAATGCGTGTGCATGGTTCCCAAACAAAACAAGTCAAGAACTGCTTCTTAAAATGTCTCTGTAGACGACACATGCACCACTATGGAGGGCTCTTAGGTTCTGATCACGGGAAAGAAAACCCGTGCTGTAAAATTGTCAATACTTAAAAGCAAATTTAGACTTTCAAACTTGTCTTGAGGCAAACTAAGTCATTAGTTTAAAGTCTTCTTGGCTGTCTTACAGTTGAGGAGGGAACAAAGACTTTTCTTGGATAAAATATTTTAAATATTCAAGGAAAATACTGGAGTTCACAGTGCTTCCTAACAAAAGAGGGAGGCAAATTTCATTGTGTCAAAGTTGCATTTCAGTGCAGGCTTGCTACAAATCCAGTTTATCAGGCATCTGGCGTGTGTCTCACTCCTGAGGTGGGTTTCTGTATATGAGTATTTTCTTGAGAAAGCTTTGGATTATTCTTCAATCTTCCCCTATTTAGATTTAATTTCAGTTGTAGAGTACTTAGTGATGGAGGCAAAATGTTGGAAACTATTAGTGGAGGCAGCTGGGGACGGCTCTTGCAGTTGGAAGCCTGCTAGACAGAAGGCTCTCTCTTTGGGCTGCCCTGTGTAGGGACGGCATTCTGCTCTCACAAGACTTCTGCAGTGCTTTGCACTTAAGGCAGGAACGATGGCTTTGGGTAGGGAATAGGAGCCACTGTGTTACTGCAGCGCATGCTGACAAGGCATTTAATGCAACCATTACCTCATGCGCCTACAGCAGTCTATATGAAAATACAATGGGGATACTGGTATAAGTGCTCCAGAATAATGTACGAGGCAACGCTGCCCGCAAGACACGCTGCCTTTGCAATAGTTGCATGGAGGTACTGGGGGAGAACTCATTTTTGCTGATTACCTCAGAGAAACTTACTCTGTCCATTCTTGCCTGCCCCAATGTCTCCCTGAATGTGTTGTACTGGTGTCATCTTCGTCCCTGATAATTAGGTGGCTTGCCTCCTTGCTGCTGCCTTGTTTCAGTGAGGTTAACAGGCCCTGCAGTTAAGGTCTTTGACACCTATAGAAACAGGCTGGCTACTTGAATGCAGTCTTCTCTCCTGAGTTGTGTGCTGGGAATGGTTTTAAGTTGGTGTTGCCAGTGTTACAGGGTTTATCTGTCCCCTGCAACAAAATGTCACCAGCTAATGGTCATATATCTCACAAGTACCTGCAACATGTACTGCCCAATGAACAGCCACAAATGTACCAGTCCAGAGTTGGATAACTGCTTTTGTACTGAAAAAGGAACAGAACCAGGCTAGCTGTCGTAGCCCTGCAGCGTGCAAGCCAGAATGCACAAAATAATAATGAATGTGCTGTATTGAATCCTCTGAGCAGAACGATACTGGGCCAAAGAGAAAATGCAGACTAACAAATAAACGTTTATTCTGTCATTACTGGCGGTGTGGAGGCTTCTCACCAGCTATTCTTCTGGACAAATCAGCAGACACACAGTTAAAATGTCGATTGAGGACATGTATTTATGAGTGTGGCATTTCTCCTTGTTCCAGTGCTTTTAACAGTCATCCTGTTGCTGCCCTACACAGAATGGTTGCAACCAACTTATAATAAAAGCTGCCTAGGGTTTGGGGCTTTTTTCCTCTTTAAGTATGTTTACAAAGACAGTCATGGCTGGTACAAGCCCAGGGTTGAAGGGGGAGTCCTACAGTTATAAAAGTAGATCCTCTTTTTGGAAGTAGTTAGTTGCGCCAGGAGTTTATAGGTTCATTTCAACCCATACTGTGACACAGCTATAGGGTTTTCTCAGATGGAACAAATCTGCATTGTCCCTAGCAATATAATGGCTGCTCATGTCAGCCTGTGTGATGAATTCAGGAGTTGTACAGCAGCTGTGAAAAGGAGTAGCACCAGCTCCTAATGGCCTTTTGCTTTGGAAAGTTAAAAAATCCAGTTCTTACTGTTGTGCCTTTAGCTTCTGGTCAGTCCCAGTTATCAGCTGCAGATTAACAGTGAATTTTGAGTTTTCAGACTGAATACTCTCAACATTTTTGGAATCTGAACTGACTTGCCAGCAGTGCTCAGTTTCTTTATAAGGAAACAACTTGTCTCCCAACTTGGAGACGTGTTTCTGGCTGTGCAGTAGCACAAGCGTATGCCCTTGACTGCACAGTTTGCATCAACCTGCAGCTCTTTTGCTCCACCTTGCTTCTGGCTCTCTGCTAAGCATTAATCTCTTCTGTCAAAGTTAACTTCTTGGCAACAGGAATTGGTGCAGGGGAATTAGTTGTTGTGGTCTTGGAGCAAAGATCAAGAATTGACAAAGGTAGAGCTAGGTGACATGACCCAGTTTTATGTGATTACTAGACTCATTCCCATGCTAGTTCAGGCTTTCTAAGCATTTTCTACTTAGAATCTTGAGAGTTTTTGACTAAAAAATGAGTCTTAACACCTGCTGTCAGCTACTGAGGTGCCATTAGTTAGAAGACAGACCTCAGGGGAGGAAAAGGTTGCCTTGAGTTCACTGTGGATTTGTCCTTAGTGAATGATGCAATAGTTCTAGTCACTGGACTGTTTGCTTTATCAGGGCAACCTTGTGTTATTTAGAGTCTTCCCAAAGAGCTCTTGCCTACACCAACCATAGGGATGGGAGGAGAAAGACCTTTATTCCTCGTTAGTTCTCAACCCCACTCAGACAAAGTGCAGTCTCTCCTCTGTATGGAGGAGGTGACATAGGAATGAGTCATTTTGAGCTGATGTTTGCACTTTTGCTCGAATTTATCCTGGAATAGGCTTTCTTCACTTAATTTCCTTGTCTTATTGAAGATACGCAGAATGGCTGGCCTGGCTGGCTGCCAGGCAGCTGAAGCATGGTAACTTAACTCCCTGTTCCCCTATCCCAAAGTAAATGCAAGGGATTCAGGATAGATTACCTCTAATAGACAAGCCATGCATTGTAAATCTTGAGGAAAGTCCCCTTATAGCTGAGTAAACCCCTGAAGAGCACTGTTCTCCATGCTAGAGAAAAGCTTCTGTCTCAGGTTCACTGCTGTATGAGATTGACCTGATTTTGCATGACCAGTGCTTGGGGGATCTAGATGCCAAACTCCATGGTAATAGATTCTGCTTTTTTTCTTCACCAAATTAGCAAAGCTATGCCAGCTGCTAGAAGTTACAGAAGGAGAGATGTTGGTAGGAAAGGGAGAATCCAGGCTCATCCAAGGTCCTGCATGGTAGGCATTGGTCAAACCTTTAAAAAAAAATACACCTTAAGCAGTTGTCCGATCAGTAACCATCTCTCAAGGCCAGCTGGCTTGAAAGTTAGCACTAAGCAGTTCACCTTCACTACTGATTTCCCTGGTTTTGCCGCTGAACCCTGCTGTTTCTTTAGAACATTTCCACTGAGAAGGTACAATGTCCCCCACGAAATGGATCCATCAAGCACATGTTTTGGGGCTGAGCTTAAGGACAAACAAAATCAAGAACAACCTTCAGCCTTTTTCAGCTGGTATATCTCACATGATGCTTTACCTGACTGTTTAGTACTGCTGACTGTGCTTGTAACAGTGACGTGTGGCAGTTTACATAGAGGGAGGAGGGTGATTTTCCTTCCGAGATAAGAATTGGAATACCTGAGGATAATGTCATTTGAATTTGGAAGACCAAAAACTAGTGTGGGAAGAAGCAGTATTAGAAAGGAATCTCACTGTTTACGCTGCATGCAGCACTTTGAACAGATAGATGAGTGTTGGACAGGCTTCAATTTGGTCTCTACTGCTCTGGTCATGATGGCCTTCCAGGAGTGTCCGCTGGCCAGTATGGCTCCCCATATTTGCAGTATTTGCTGTTGCACAGTTGCTTTTAAGCTCTCCAACTTCGCTGCACTCTGAGAACAAAATTCAGATACAAATGCTTCTACCCTGCCACCTCTCTTCTTTTCTTTTTTCTTTTTTCTTTTTTTTTTTTTTGGTCTTGTTCTGAAAAAAGCAGCAGGCTGAAAATGCAGTTCAGCCTCTTGTCATTCTTGCTAGGTCTTGTCCTCTTTATTCTGTGCAGCTGCCTTTAACATTAGATTGGTAATGCTACATCTGCATCTCCTATTACAGCTAGCACAGGGGGATACCACTAAGTAACTAGAATTTCCCATCAGACTTCGACGGCGGGGGGGGGGAAGTTGAAAATGCAGCTTGCTTTAAAAACTGATGGAGGAACTGCTGGGAAGTAGATGCTTTAACTGTTAGACTTGCAAGTTCTCCCTTCAAAACACTGAATTCAGAGCAGCTTCTGAAAGGTGGCTTGTTCAGCTAAAAACTATACCACTACAGTCCTAGTACCCCACTACATCTCTCTTGATCTCTAAACAATCCATGTGACAAGCATGGAATCTGGCCATGTTTTACCTCTGTTCCTAAAGCTGCTGGCAAGCATGCTAGAAATGGCTAGGAAACTTTGAACAGAAGATCCTCATGGACTTGATTGTCTAGCCAGTCTGAAATGGGTAACAAAACTAAGCTGCTCTAATGCCAAAGAGTCTGCCACAACTGAATCTCTGAGGACAAGGGAAGGACATGCGTGTAAAACTACCCCAAAACAATGTTCTAATATAAGTAGGGTTGTGCCTTCTTCGGAATACTTTTGGTTTGGCAGCTGGCTGTGGGCAGCATCGAGACTCCGGATTCTTTACTTGGCTTGGAAAAAGAGGGTCTGCAGCCGTTTCTGACAAGACTCTCAGGCTGCTGGTGACTGTTGCCCATATCGGTTGTCTTCTAGCCTCGGATTTAAGGCAATGCGGTAATGTGGTCCTGAAAATTTGTGGTGGTAATCCTGAAGGTCTTTGCTCTTGTCTTTGCAGGCATCTGGAGTACAAGTTGCCGATGAGGTATGCCGTATCTTCTATGACATGAAAGTGCGGAAGTGCTCTACGCCTGAGGAAATTAAGAAGAGGAAGAAGGCTGTCATCTTCTGCCTCAGTCCAGACAAAAAGTGCATTATTGTGGAAGAAGGCAAAGAGATTCTGGTGGGAGATGTCGGTGTGACAGTTACCGACCCTTTCAAGCACTTTGTGCAGATGCTTCCTGAGAAGGATTGCCGTTATGCCTTGTATGATGCAAGCTTCGAGACCAAGGAATCCAAAAAAGAAGAGCTGATGTTTTTCTTGTGGTAAGCCATCTTCCCAACTCATTCCTAACATGCAGTCCAAGCACTGTGGGTGAGGTCTCTGAGCATTTGTATTGCCCAGGCTGGCAAGATGGCAGGCTTAAAGTGAGCCGGACAGCCTGATGCCTGTATTCTGAGCCATGAGACGTTTCAGTTGTTCATAATCGGTAGGACACTGCTTCTGTCTATGCTAGATAATAAATGTCACTAATTGCACTTTTTTTGGTGTGTCCCACTAGGGCACCAGAACAAGCACCTCTCAAAAGTAAGATGATCTACGCAAGCTCCAAGGATGCAATCAAAAAGAAGTTTCAAGGTATGTAATACAGCTAACACTCCTATCTGTGCTGTGCCCCTAAATGCTTACACAGCGAGGCTTAACCATTGGCTAATTGACTTTTTTTTTTTTGAGATACTAGTGAGAGATGAGAACTTGGCAGGTGAAATGCCCTGTGACAGAGCTAAAATGAGCTCTGCCTAAAACTTGTCTGACTCTGAATTTTAGAGGCCCTAGAACTGTGCTCAGGACAAGAGCAGGCTTTGCAACGTGTGACACTAGCAGTACTGTGCAGAGCTGCCTCTGTGACAGAGGACTTTTAGCCATGTGTCTGTTGAAATACACAATCTCAAACTTACTGTGCTGTAGTAGTAGTAATTAACAATTAATTTGATTTAGAGATGCGGTTGTGATTACTCATTGCAAAAGGCATCGCATCTCCCAAGTGGAGTAGCTGAGTTCTGTTTAGCCTGTCAGGCACCATTAACCAAGGAGTAAATACCTTGCTGCAGCATTCAGAAATTTCATGCTAAGTCAGTCGTTATGACGGCTTGTAGCCAGATAGCACTGCCCCCGCCCCTCTTCAGTTCCTCATGCTGTGCTGGGCCACAGTCTTGCAGTGTGCAGCAGTACTGGCCTTCACAGGACAACTTGCCAGTGGACTGGAACTAGCCAGGGAGACTGTTGTGTGCTGCACATCTGGAAGATGGAAAAAAAAAAAAAAAGCAGTCCTGTGATTTTACTGCTTCTCCCTACATAAGACAAGCTTGGGTTGGGCTCCCCACCCTCCAAAAAAAAGAAACCACTGTTAATTCCTTAGACCAGCAAAGTCTTTCTAGTCTCTACATCTCAAATTACCACCAATTCTTTCACCCACCTCTCCAGAGCCAGCAGGAGCTGAGTCAGCCATCTTAGTGTGCTTGCGCGTTAGTATCCTCAGCTGCCATATCCAGGGTAGCACTAGAAATGAGATTAACTTGTATGATAGTCTGCAATGAAAAGGCTAACAGTCTGAACACTGATCTAGTGAAAACTTTCTCCCTGGTATTTCTACGTTGATAGTTGGTGTGTAGCCAGGTGTCTCCTGTGACATATCAGGGGAAAAACATCCAAATTCCTAAGGTAAGGCAGGACTTATCTGCTTGAGTGACCAATTGCCTCTGCTAATATTACTACCAAGTATGCTTCTTTGATTACTAGCATGTTGAAATAGTGCGTTATTGAGTGTTTTGCCTCTTTTTTTAGGCATAAAGCATGAATGCCAAGCAAATGGGCCAGAGGACCTCAACCGAGCTTGCATTGCTGAGAAGCTAGGAGGCTCCCTAGTCGTAGCTTTTGAAGGAAGTCCTGTGTAGATGTCATACAGTGCCACAACTCTACAAGCATTCCATGTTTTAATATATCATTTATGTAAAGCAGCCATTCTAGGCAAGGGTTTCACTAACTGTAGGGAAGCTGTCTTGTAGAATAAAGTAGATTTTGAAGTTGTAGCTCCTGTGTACAAATGACCCTAAATAAATCAAATCTAAGGATTTATCTTGGTGTATTAATATTTGCATTGGTTTTCCAGCCCAATACTGTCCCCAATGGATTAACACTAAAGGTCTCCAAAAAAATTTTGTTCCAATGCAGCAGTGTATCATGGGATGAAAGTAGCGGGGAGGTGAGAACAATCTGGTTCCTGTTCTTACTTTTTTAAATTGTAACAAGCAAAATTCAGTCAGTCTTTTTGAGGCTACTGGCCAAATTGCCAAACTCAAAATTTTTTTCCCTGTAACAGTTTAATACAAAACTTAAAACCTGTAGTTAAAGTTAGGCTAAAGCAACCTGTTGGCACCAAAACTGGGTTAAATTCTTAGTGCTTGCAGTTGCAGAGCAGTACTAATAAAGGCTAATTCTGAAGTTAAATAGAGATAAAATAGACACTTTTCTGGAGAAATAGACCTAATCTACTCTCTTGTAAACTCACTGTGCAGTAATAATATTTAAAGGTTCACTTGTTCTGCAGGTTCAATTTTCTTGTTATGAAGTGTCTTGAGGTCTCTTCCAGACTGAGTGGTTCTATAAAAATTGCTTTTCTGTTGACATAGTTTAATTTAGAACTACCTTAGTTTCACTAATACACACTTACTAGCAGATCAGATGCTTCTGAGGCTTTTACAAATGTGGATTCTTATATTAGAGCTCTCCAGTTATGGGTAGTACAATGAGAAGGAACCACATCTTAAAAAGTGGTATTCTCAGCCCCAGTCTTTGGTCTCTTGGTCCATTTGTCCATAGTTACTATTGATTTTAACTTAGTAGAACCAATCAGCCTGACTAATATGGCTTGATCTGGGCTTTTCGTCTGTTAGCTTCTTTAATTCTGTAGAAATGCATGGAAATATCACCTACTAGAAAGTTTGACCTGAAATGCCTTTTGTATGGGGGGTAGAGAACATTCCTGTGCCAGCTACAGAGATCTTAAAAGCTTCCATGTTTCACCAGTGGTTGATTAAAGCTGTTTCCTTTGTGTAATGTGTACATGGAAGTTGCATAGAGTTTTCCTGTATGTCTGTAGAGAAAAAGAAGAAAAAAAAAAAAAAAACCAAACCAAACCCCTTAGCCTCCAGTGCGTTACTGTGATATGTTCTGTGTGTGCCAAATTCAAATAGCCTAAATAAATGGGGTTTCCCTCCCCTGGGTCAGTGACTGATTCCTCTCCAGCCTCTGGATTAGCCATCCTGCGGTGGGGCTGGCGCTGCTGGCTGAGCACACCAGAGCCCCACATAAGCTGGGCGCTCGGGGAGCTGGTACACCTTCCGCAGCTACTGACCTGTGCTGCTCAGGAGGGAGAAAGGATGGGGGAAACAGGCTGGAAAGAAGAGCTGGTGGAGGCGGAGGGAGTTGGAGGGGAGTGGAAAGCGGGTTCACCCTTCTGCAAAATGTGCTGCCCTCCTTGGCCCTGCACCCCTCTCACAGCTGATGGAGTGCTGGCCTGCAGCAGGTTCTAGCTCCCTAACAGCACCTGGTCTCTTTTAGGCTTTGGACCCTGATTTCCATGGGTTGGGGAGCTTCCTGGGAAACATCTGGTATTTGCATTCTGAGTGGGAGAAACCCAGCATGTGTTGGTTATTTTGTGCTGTGTTCCCTGTAAGAACTGAGAGAGCTTTCTCTGGACAGCCACATGAAGCCCAGGCAGTTACCAGCTGCCCCTTGCTCTGCAAACTCTTGCCAGATGTGCAGGGACAGGAAGCTGTACTGTCCCTGCAGCTCCTCAGCAGAGCAGTGTGCTGTGCTGGTTTATCTGCGGGGCCAGGGAAATAATGGTCCATTACCTAACTCAGCATGCGCCCTCTCCGGCCACGCTGCATGGTTAAAACCTTTAATTAAAGGCAGGCACTGACTGCTTGCTCTAACTTGGCACCCAGGCAGGTCACAGGGTTGGGAGCACAAGGTTCTCTGATGCAAAGAGATCCACCAGAGCGAAGCTTTCTGATTTGGAGAAAAGCATACTGGCCTCGTTTCTGCAGGTGCTTTTAGCCTGTGTTTCAGTCAACCCTGAGCTCGTCCAAGTGGGTAATCATCCCCATAAAAAGCTCCTCCTTGCCTAGGTGTCTGCAGTACTGGTCTCTGTCCAAAGTCCAAGTTGAGATAAGGAAACCGGAGTGACAGAGCGGGAGTGGTGCTGCCTGACAAACAAAGGGAACTCCCAGCCAAGATCAAGCCGATAACTAATGCCTCCAGACTGCAGGCGTCTTCAAAGAGATATCCAGCCCAGGTGATGCTTTGGTTAGAAAATGGAGCAGGAGACCCTGCAAAGGGGGAACATGTCAGACCTGGAAGGTAGAAGGGCACTCCCCACAACGTGAAAGCCCTTGGATCAGGGACTTGGGTACAAAGTGCATTAGTCCCAGGACTTTGAGGGATGAGTCTGAGGTTGCACTTTGGGCCTTGGTTAGGTGCAGTCCCACAGCTTCAGCTGATCTGAGAAGTTCTGGCCACTTTTGAGAGCCTCGCAGCAAGCCCTGAGGTATTACACTGGCCTCTCTGGAAGAGTACTCCAGCACTGGCAGTAACTTAACCTTCAGAGCTATAATGCTTCAGGCTTGTCCACATCATGGAGTTAGTGGGCCAGACTTCACCACCTGCCAAGATTATTTGCCCTTCTGCAGCTGGAGGGGATGGAAAGCATGGAAAGTTGTTTCCTGTTGTGACTGTTTCAAATCCTTTCAGATAAGGTTTCTTCCAAATCACCCAGACCTTCTGAAAAGGCAAGGCAAGCAGGGAGAGACAATGTGAGGAATGCTTCCTATAGCTTGGCCGGTTGCTGGGGAGAGAAATTACTTTCTAACAGGACTACATGAAGAAGAAAAAGGTGAAGGGGTTCAGATGACAAACATGGCTCGGAGCTGTGCAAGCTCAGCAGGACTGCAGTCCAAGTAGCGCAGCTCAAGTGCATCAGGAGCAGAGCTGCTAGAAACCTTTTCAAGTCCACATGCAGGCAAGGGTTTCCCAAAAGCCATTTTTGTCCATTACACTGGGGAGAAGATGGAGATGGCAACTGGTAATTCAGGCCTGTGTGTGAGCAGCAGGTGGTGTAAATGTAATTTAGCTGCTCCAGCAAAGGTGAACCTGAGTGTCTAAGCTATGGCTTGGTAAACCCACATACCCAGGCTGAAAGGTAACTCCAGCCTTGGCTGAAATCAGTGGAAGGATCCAGTGCTCCTGTTCAAAATCACCCTAGCTGGGTGACTGCTAAATAAAGTGCCTGCCTGCAGCACCCTGGCGCCCAGCTGCTGATCATACCTGCCCTGAGTCACAGGCTGACAGGTAACAAGCCCACAGAGTGGCTTGCCTGGAGGAAAGGAGATAACTCTTGGCAAAGCCCATGCCATTAGGCGGGCATGTTGTGAAATCCCACCAGCTCCTGGGAGACAGGGGCTGGCCAGTCCCCAGCCCTGCATGCTGGTGGGCAAGGCTCAGGTTTCTCCTAGCACCGCGGGATGTCCTTCCCCTTCTACCAAGGTGCCGAGAGGAGAAAAAATCCCAGCAATACCACTCCAGGTATTGAAAATTAAGCTCAACGTCTTTCCCCAAAGAGACACGAGGTTTTTCAGCTTTGCTTAACAAGATCAGCCCCTCTCTTCCTAAAACAACCAGCTCGGCGATGTGTCCTGGAAGGGCACCATGTCTCCCTGATGCTGGGGACACCAAATCTGCTCATGTGTCGCTTTTGGAGCCAACCTGTCCCATAGCGCACTCGGGATGCTGGCTGCCCTCCTTGCTTTAGCTGAGGCCTTTGTTCCGGCTCTTGTGTTAACGCCTGGGTATCTGCTTTGTTTTGCTCGAGTGCTCACAATAAAGGAAATCATTGTTGCAAAAGCAAAAAAAACTGAAAACCAAAGGATTGCATCACTTTGCTGCGCCTGCTGCTCTGGGGCCCTTCCCACCAACGGCTGTCTGGGGGTGACAGCCACCCCAAAATGCTCAACAGCTTAGTCCAGCCTAGGGGTTAGGTGGGGTTCTTTTTTGCAGTCCCGGTAAAAATCCAGGTGTTTGCTCACTTTGGGGGATCTTAAAAGCCAAAAGGCAACAGGCCAGGCAGGCATGCTGCTCTGCAGTGAGAGGTGATGCTGACAGCATTGAGGCCACTGGTGGGCCTTGCCTCATGAGGTCCTCCCTGTGCGTCACAAAGTCCAGAAGGAGAAAACAAAGGCTCATCATGGCTGCTTATGAGTTGTGGGGGTGACAGACCTGCCAGAGCCTGGGGCGCTTGCAGGAGCTGCTGCTTACGTGCATGCAACAGACTTTAT